GGGGTTTCTGGGGTACAGCAACGGGGAACGCTGGGCAGGTCGTAATCGAGGGAAAGTAGTTGGAAAACTTGAAACTGTGTCGTTGTGCGTATGCCGCCGCAAGAGAGTGTGAGTCGCCGGGAGTGAGGCAGCGGGCGGGGGAAGAGAACAGGACGGGAACGGAAAGAAGGGGAAAGAGAAGGGCAAAAAGGGATCAGGAAGTGCAGTGGAAAAGCGAAGGGAGTTTGGTCGACAACGTATAAAGTGAAGGAGGCAACTTGTGGACGAAATTGAAGTCGGAGATGAGGTCAGCGAAATTGGAATGGAGCGAGGCAGGACTCGTCGGTCGACCTATTCCTCCGCACGGTGCAGGGGCGTCCGCTGGCCCCTTCTAGCGGCCGCTGCAGTTGCAGTTCCAGTGGGAGCTGAAGCTGAGCCCATAACAACTGGAACGGGTCGGTTTGACACACAGGCAGCCACACTGCCCGGTGCGGCATGCCTGCAGACAACCGGGCCTGTAAGCGGGGGTTGTGCTGTGCGCCCAGCACAAATCGTCAGCAGCGAACAGGTGCGCTCCAGCCACTCGTTGTGCGACAAACTGGCCAGGCTGGCCCACCCCAACCTTCCACCTAGCACGGAGCCAAGTTGCCATGCCGTTCGGGAAGGAGAAGAAGACTGTGGGGCCAAATATTCGCTTAACACTGGCAGGCTATTTGATATTCAGGGATCAATCTCGAACTTCGGTCGAAACCGTCCCTTGCAATCCAATTCATCTATCCATCTCTCTGATTTTGACTTCCTTACCTTTTAGAGTTTTAGATAATTCATTCTCACTGGCTAGACTAGTTGACTGAATGATCGCGGCACAGAGACTACGTATATACTCCAGCGCTTGTGTTTAGATACCTCGCCCTGACACGACCCGAAACCTTTTTAGTTTGCAGTGCTACTTCGTAATATGCTGTTGCACAAACACGATGATCAACCAGGCTTGATCAAACATCGACAATCCCTCTTCCTCAACTCAACTCGCCCTCACTTGCAGCACAACGTTGTTACCCACACCAGCCTTGCAGATCGGGCGAACAATGTCGTGTAGTGTATTTCCTGGCTACGCGCAGCATTTGCGCATATGAAATCCAGGCAGGAGTGCGTCATCTTGCCACAGCCCGGAACATCTGGTCTCATGTGCCCTCTAAAGCCAATTGGCTCGTGGATGGAATGAAGGGGTCACCTAGGTACCTACCTTGTGCAGCAAGGGCGAGTGGGTTGAGTTGTCCATCCTCACACTAGCTTGGTCGTTGTTTTATTGAACAAAGGGCAGACGGGACGGCACCAATTTGGAGACGTGATAAGACCCGACAAGTCGGCCAAGCCTCTTATGCCAACTCTGCGAGACAGCCTGACGACTGGGGTTTCGGTTTGCTTGTTTTGGCGAACTGGATATAGAAGAAGTCTTGCCACAATGACTGCATGTGGTACATGACTAGGTGGGTAGCTTTTAGAGTTCAGCCCATCAAGTCACCATTCGCATTCGTAGGGAAATACTTAACCACGGCTGTTGGGTCAATGCCCCACGCACAGCAACAGCCTCGACGATAACCCCGGATTTGGCAACCCGGGAATAAGAGACGCAGAATGTCAAACAACATTTGACGGCTTGATTGATGTCTGCACTATACCAGAAATCTCACTTGAACAAGAAGTGCGACGATCTGCCTCAAGGTCACGTTCCCCAACCACGCAGCGTAGGGCACAAGTGGTTGGGCTGAGAGATTCGCGTACCCCTTACCATTACGTAGAAGCCACGGCGACAAAGATTGAAGTCGTAGCTTCTTCGAGTTGAGCAAAACTAATCCAAGAAAATCCACTGACCTATTGCAGAGAACATTCACCTTTGTATTCCAGAGGGTATCGTAAGGACACCTATTTTCCATATCTCGCGTCCATATATCTTACACACTGCGGCTTTGCTCACTTCCTTTTTACTTCTTGTCACCGAACAATCCCTTCTCCAAAAATCCTTCCGGGAGTGGCGCCCGCCTGAACTCCTCATCCTCAATATCATCAGGATCGACATACTTCCCATGACGAGGATCATCCTGAAGCTCGTCCATGAGGTCGTTCATCTTAACCTTCTTGCCGTTCTTCGTCCGCCTCTCGACCGGCGCTCTGCCGTTAGGATACTTCTCACTGGCAGCCAGGATTCTGTTCGTGTTGGGATCGACCGTAACCTCGACCACTCTAGGCTTCTTCTTGCTGCCGAGGCCAGCAAGTTCACGGGAGCGAACGCCGCCGTCGCCCGCGTTCTTGAGACCCGTAGCGAGGTTCTCGGCATTCTTGCCGGCCTTGCCTAGACGGATTTCACGGCGGGTGCGAGTCTTCGCTCCCAAGGCCCACAGGTCACCCCACTTGGCTTTGCGGGCGTCATGGTACGCCTGCTTGGAAAAGGACTTGGGAACCACCCAGCGCTCAATGGTGCCAGCTGGGGTGCAGAGGTCGAGCGTGACGTGCCCCTTGCTCTTGAGAGGTGGCATGACGTTGCGCGGAAGAGAAAGAGCGTGGGGAGTGCCGGCTTCAACATCTTCGTAGCCCTTGAAGGCACGGTCCACAGCTTCTGGACCTTGGAAGAACGATGATGTAGAATCGGTCAAGTTAGATCCAGTGGACGAGGATCTTACCCCATCTGGGTGGGCGCCTCTGCGAATGGCGATGTAGCTAAACTCGATGTCCTCGTGGTTACGATGCGAGGCACCAAGAACTCTCTGAAGGAAAGAAGGGCGGATGAATCGTTGACTGAAATGGCAGAAATCCTTGCGGCCTGCGCTCTCTCCGGGGGTCAGGTACATGGGGCACTTGGTATGGTTCGTGCAAGGGGCGATGATGTGGCCGGGTTCGCGGATGCGTCCCGATTCAGGAACCGCTGTCATATCCTCGCCTGTCTCCGCAGAAACGGGCGGGATGATGAACTCGCTAAGCATCCGGTCGCGGACATCAGCCACAGCCTCGAAGCCCCGGGGATGACCCTTTTCCAGAACAATGAGAACACCACCCTCGGGATTAAGCATGGTCCAGAGGTTGTCGATGAAATCCTTGCGTTTATAGGACTTGTCGAGTGGCATTAATTGATGAGAAGCGATGATGACATCGAAAACCTTTTTCTGCCCGGGTCCTCCTCCAGACTCGAGCATGCGCTCAGCTCCCTCGGCCGAATGCAAATAATCGGGTAGTCGGGGAAGGAATGTCGTGTTGTGAAGAAACCGGGACACACGTTGACGCAGGCTTTCGGAACCCACGACGACAGTCTTCTTCCCAACGGGTTCGCGACCTAGAACCTTGCCTTGCTCGCGAAGAAGCTCCCACTCCGCTTGAAGAACCTCCTGCCACGCAGCAAGGCCCGCTCCACCAGCGCCGACGTCGAGAACTCGCGGGCCCGTACCGTTGGTTAGAAGTCCCTGAAGCCAATCAGAACCAAGGCGCTTGCGGACCTCAACCAGAATGCTGGTGGTAGTGGCATACAGACCAGGGAGTACGGTGGTGATATAGGTGTCTGCCTCGATCGCGCTCATCCTATGATGGCCTGCTTGCATTGCCACAGGCTTTTGTCCCAGGTTCTTCTTCGTTGCCGGCGTGGCCGGAGAATGTGGAAGTCCCGGACCCCCAAAGACTTTCTCAGCATGTTCGCGGACATGGCTCGGGTTGGTGCGACTAAGAAGATCTTTGATAGGCTCGGTAAAGGTTGCCTTGGGAAGAAGCAGCGTGCTCGGCTTGGTCCTAAAGATGCCGATGGCGGTATGTGAATGAACTCTGTCGTTGATAGATTGCTCAGGCAAGAACCGCTCTTCTTCATCCTCTTCGATACGCTCTTCCTCTTCATAGTGCCCCACCTCTTCCTTTTGTTGAACCTCCTCTTCCTCCACAATCTCCTCAAGCGGGCGAAGACTGGCCGCCTCAAAATCCCTTTGCAGTCTCATCAGCGCAGCAAACTCGCGCTTGTTGTTGGCCGTTACGTTCAGGTAATCGATCTGAGCCTCGGTAAGGGGGCGTAATTCTGCGACGGCTTCTACATCGCTTTCTTCCACAGGAGGCTGCTCGATGGTGTATTCGACCTCTTCGAAGTGTCCAGACTCGGTTTCCACAAACAAAGTACGCTGAGGCCCATTTCGCCCCCCAGCATTGACACCACCAAGTTGAGGTATTCCGACATCCTCTGGTACTGTCTCGCGAAGTGGTGCGCCGTATAGTCGCTCATAGATCTTGTATTCTTCTTCTGTAAAGTAGCCATAGGGAAGCGTGTGCTTGAAAGTCTGACGTGCTTGGCGTACGAACGTTTCGGCATCGTAATCGGCATCTTCGCGGCTTAACTCGGGTTCTGTCGAAGTAGCGCCGGCAGTGTTTTGTGTCGCTTCTTGGAAAACTGATCTGGTGGAAGATAGATGTCGAACCAAACCGCGACGCGCTGCGGGACTGGTGGGGGATGGGCGTAAAAGTGGCCGGGCAGCTACGCTGGTGCGCTGCTGCAGAAGAGCATCGTAAAAGCTCAAGACTTGCTGCCTACAGCCAGGGCATCGGTTTTTAAATCTGCCCGCCGATAGCATCTTGAATCGCCGGGACTAAAGGATATGTTTGGTAGTGGATATTCAAAGGTTTCAGGACAAGAACAAAAAATTGCAATTATCTTCGTCGCAGAGAAGGGTCCTCTGTCTATCCTAAGTTTTAGTGGATACACGGACCACACGTTCACACGTGACAGTGGCCTATCACCGGCCCCCTATTTACACTACACGAAGAGGGGTTATCACGGTGGCAATTACGTGGGAACATGAGAAAAGGCAACGAATAGTACCACGTTTCTCGTAATTAATGAGAAGTATGATTTTTCAAAGGGGCAAAAGAAGCCCGAAAATATGCGTGAGCGAGAACACCAAAAAAACAAGTGCCGCCCGTCCGAAACGCCCTCGACGCCGTGAACTCCAGTATGCTACCGTACGCTTAACGACACATTCAAACTACCGCTCGGTTTAGTTGCCCAGGTCCGACAACGTCTTGAACGTAGCACGCGGCGCAGGCTTTTTACTAGCAGCACTCCCCGTATATGACTGTGCTTGCGGTGGACGATTCTTCTTGTTGAACGGGGAGCTCTCTGCCGCCTTGTATGGGTCAAGCTGAATGAGGGCCTTGTTATTAAATCTTGTCCAGATTCGAGAGGGGCGGTAATGATCTCTTACCGAAAAGAGAGAGGTGACATAAAGTCCAATGAAAGCTACGATAGTCTTGATCAAGCTGTTGAAATCCCACTTGAAAGGACGGGCCACTGATGTCCCGGGGCGGGACCCGGCTACTCCACTGCCGCCGAGTCGGTGTCCGGCGGTCTTGAACACAGCACCACCACCCGCGGCACCGCCGGCCAACTTGACAGCCTTATCAACAGCGGCGGTAAGAGCTGGTGGGTTGGCTCCCTGAATTGTTTCGATCACAGAGCCGTTGTGCAAAATGAGGAAGGTCGGCATGGCGCGCACGCCATACTGCTGGGCCACTTCCTGCTGGCTGTCGACGTCAATCTTGCAGAATGTGATCTTGTTGGGTTTGGAGTATCTGGCCGACAGCGACTCAAACACTGGAGCGATCATCTTGCAAGGGCCACACCAGTCGGCATAGACTAGAAAAAGGTCAGCGACATTGTCATTTGGCACTTGTTGTACGGTGGAGTGAAGCGACCTACAGTCCGCGACTACGATGGCTGACGAGCTTAAGATCTGACGCCATTGCGTTGAGGATCCGACTTTGACAGTTGCGCTCATTTCAAGATCTGGGGAGTTGAAGGTTTCCAGTAATAGAAGCAATCGCGCGATGATGTTTGGTGCGGTAGCGATAATAGAATGTCTTCTCGTGATCTGGCCTTTGTCTGTATCCGGGAGCCGGGATGACGACGATGTAGTGTAGTAAGCGCTGTTACACAAGGGGGTTGCTAAGGGGAGGCCAATGAGACTGAGAGCCAGACCTGGATGCCCCGGTTGTTATTCACAGTAATCCACGGGTTAGGGTTATGATCAATGTTCTAGAATCCCGCTCAGCATGGTACCGATGCAGATAAGAAGGCGGTCAAGATTTCCATTTTACTTTTGGAATTCTGCCGCCGATCCGCAAGAATCAGCTTCCAAAAACTCTTGTGTGTTGTCGTCCGTACTTACTTGCAACGTGAGATCCGCCGAACAGCCATCCACCCGTTTCCCCAATCAATTGTTCTGTGAACACTCAGACACGTACTTCAAGATGGGACCCCCGCAAGATCACTCGTACAAGGTAAGCTTTGTGAATTTGTGTTGACGAAGAGCTTCGGCGCAAAGGATCGGTTACTTTGTGATCTCGGTCATGAATGATATCATGCCCCAGCGCCCGGTGGTGATGGAATTCAAGGAAGTGGCATTGGCACTGGTGACATTGGCCTGTAATTCTGGGTGATCTTAAGACAAAGTCATACCCCCATTCAGCCTTGTGCTTACTTTATCGTCCATGGCTTCCCCCCCATGCGCATCTCATTCCTGTTCATATCTTCCACCTGTTTTCTTCCATATTTCTACTATATCTGTTCTCCCCCAGTGACCTGACCGACGACCAACCTACATGATAACTAACTTTTGTCATAGAGGCGGCGCATTGAGGCCGACGAGACTCCTAATTCTGGACGCCAACCATCTTCCCTTAGCGCAGCATCTGCCAAGCCAGCACGTTTCAAGCCTACCGCCGCGAGAGATTGGACCATCTCAGTCGCGGTACCTACTAGTGTCATCACCGATTGCGTGACTCGTGAGCAAAGGACAACATGGGCAGGCCGTATTGCGAGAGCCTGCGCGGTTTTCTCTGTCGACGAGATTGTCATATACGACGACAGCCCGGTCGAGTCTCGACCTGCAAGCACCGATCACGAAGGCTATACCGGCGATGTGGACCCCGCGCACTTCCTCGAGCATCTCCTTAACTACCTCGAAACACCGCCCTTTATGCGCAAGCTCCTGTTTCCCATGCACCCGAATCTCAGGTCCCAGGGTTTGCTTCCGAACCTCGACATGCCACATCATCCGTACAAGGGCGAATGGATGCCGTATCGCGAAGGCTTGACACTGGAGGCTCAACCCAAGGGTGGCAAGGGGTAAGCTTCTCCTAGTTTGAGGTGTCCCTGGTGCAGACACGACAGTTGGCTAACCCCATTGCAGAACCGTTGTCGATATTGGCCTCGAAGACACAGTCACCATTGACGAGGAGCTCCCTCCCAAGACACGAGTTACGTTGAAGATGCCCGTGGGCGAGTACGGATCACCAGAACCTGTCCATCCCGCGGTTCCCAGGACCGAAGGCGGTTACTTCTGGGGTTACACGGTTCGCAAGGCCGCGACACTCTCCGATGTGTTCACCCAGAGTCCTTACGAGGAAGGTTACGATTTGAGCATCGGTACATCAGAGCGTGGACAGTCCCTGCACAGAGCTTTTCCCGAGCACAAGGAGGCCAACTTTACCCATCTTCTCGTCGCATTCGGCGGTCCGCGCGGCCTCGAATACGCTGCCATGAATGACCCCGAGTTAAGCAAGATTGGCATTCATGGTCCCCGTACGAAGGAGCTGTTCGAACACTGGGTTAACGTCTTGCCCAACCAGGGTAGCAGAGGTATCAGGACTGATGAGGCTATGTTGATAGCCCTCACCGGCCTCAGGAGATTGTGGGATAACAGCTGATCGGACTACTAAGGCTTTTGTTTTCAAGATTTTAGCGTTCATAACGACATACCCATTGCAGCTGATAGGAAAGATCATATTTTCCAGATATTGATCCAGTATCGTCGACATACACGATGAGAGCGTGCCGGTAGCTAGAGGGATGGGTAATGCGACCGGTCATCAACACTTCTTGAAAGCTACCGAAGTTTTAGCAAGGGGACGCGAGCAAGCCACTCGTGCCGTAAGATGCATGAAGAACCGAAAACTAACGAGAGATATCGAGCCGCAAAAATAAGAGACAGGGAGTGTGTCTTTGGCCATACTGATGGCAAACCAGGGCCACATATCACACGTATCGTCTGGTTAGGTGAAACTGAAGAGTTGTATATATAGTCAGGACACAGAAACCCGAAGCAGGAGAATTTCATCTTTGACGCAGTTGAGGCATAACAATACTCCCCCTTCCCGCTAGTCAGCCGTCGATTTTGTAGACTTGACGCGTACGTGGTCGAACCTTTACTTGCCGTATCAGAAGTTGCAGGTAGTGTAGGTGGTTGGGTAAAGAAACTGTGTGCGATGTGGATGTGCAGTCAGCCTCGAGGAGGGAGGGCGTGAACGTAAAGCAGAAACGATGCCAAGTGGAGGCTGCATCCCGTCTTTAGCGCGAATCGAGCCCGCTGTGGAGTTCAAGGTACGGAGTGTAATGTAGTGTAAGGAACGGGACGGTGGAGTTTCCAATCTTCACTTCGTGCCCCAACGGAAAGTCAGACCACTGCACTTCTTGCACTTTGTCTTCCCATTTCGACTGATTATTACGGTTGTATATTTTCAAGAAACAGCCCTCGCGATCAACGCTGTTGCCATTGGTTTTGTCGACCTTGGGGCCCAAGGCAGGAGGGGGCACTGCTGGATTCCTGCGTCAGTGTCACCCAACTGGCGCGTGCCTGGCTTGTTCCTTCCTAGGAGGCCGATCGTGGTAGCGCAGCCCTGCTAGCAGGCACGGCATAGCTACTTAGTAGCGTACAGAGAGAATCGTTGCACTAACGAAACCGACAGAAAGCAAACTACGGATCCACCGCGCGCAAGAAAAGAGACCGGAGGAAGAAGTCGGGGCAATGGTCGGTTTCGGGGAGGTGAAGACAACTTCCGTCCGGAGACATACTTTCATACTCCGCTTTACGGAACCTACCGCCGTCCAGTGACCGGCATCACGTTGACCATAAGCAGGAGGAGAAAACAGATAAGTTGATTGGCCTTGGAGGCCATCTTCTTGTAAAAGTGGAATAATACTGCCCCACTTTTACCCACGAAAGGAATGGAGATCGCTCGCGAAGTTGACCCGCCGTAAGATCCGTACTTAGGTACATATGTACTTGACCAACTTGAAGGAGTAAAATGCTTGCTCCAAGTACATACCGCGCACACGGGCTTGGTTGTACACTATTGTACAGGTTCATCCGAAAATGAGGACGGAGATCTGACCATCCGATTCCATAAACCCACTATCCCATATCATCCATCAATCGCATCACATGCACCATAGCATTTTCACATAGCGTCACATAACCATATCAGCCGGAGCCAAGACAAGACAAACCGACATGCATCTCCTGCATCTCCGCCTGCCCTACCGGGCCCCGTCTCTCTACCCTCCCTACGCCCTAGCCTCACGCCTGCAAGACCACCTCCGCCGCTCCCTCCTCGACCTCAAGGACAACCGTCCGGGCTCGAAACCCTACACGCCAACGATTATCTCCTTCACCCCCTTGCCCACCTACACTTTAGGCCGGCGCCAAGCCAGTCCACTCACCGGTGATGAAGCAACACGTCTATCAGCTCCCGTGTATTACCCATCTTCACCCTTAGCTTCGCGGTCATCCCCATTAATGTCAGCACCATTACAACGAATAGATGGGGAACACGGAACAGTTAAGCTCCCAGTCTCAATCCTTCACTCCCCCCGTGGCGGCCTAACCACCTACCACGGCCCAGGGCAGGTCGTCCTCTGGCCCATCTTGGACTTGATTTCGTCTCAACACAACAAGTACACAGTGCGGTGCTACACGCGTCTCCTAGAGAAAACGACCATTTCCACTCTTTGGAAATCGTTTGGTATCCAGGCCTTCACGACGGACGATCCGGGGGTTTGGGTTAGGAGTGGGGCTGCTTGGGCACCATCGCCAGAGGAGACCGGGGAGGGGGAGAAGACGCAGGAGGAGAAGGGGGAGGAGGCATGTGCGCTGGCTGGAACTGAGAAGTCTTCTGTAGGTGAAGATGAGGGTCCGTTAGCCAAAGTCGCCGCCTTGGGCGTCCATCTCCGCCGCCACGTCTCCGGTCTCGGTACGGCCATCAACGTAGACATGCCCGGCCCGGAAGTCACGAGGGAGGCACTCAATCCGTGGGCGAGGTTTGTGGCATGTGGCTTGGAGGGGAAGACGGTGACGAGTGTTAGGGGGGAGTTGGACAAGGCCAAGGGTAATCCGCAGCCCACGCAAAAGTATGAGGGGATGTTGAACCCGCCTGCCGTGGCGGGCGCTTGGGCGGAGAACTTGGCGAGGAATATTGGGGTTGAGAAGGTGAAGACGGTGGGGGAAGATGAGGTGGTGAGCTTATTGGAGGAGTTGGTTAGTGGGAAGGCCGCACAAGAGGAGGTGGGAGAGGAGGAGAGGAAGTTTGTGAGGCTGATTAGGGAGCAATTGGATCGGGAGGGAGACATGGGGGGCGGGAGGGGAATCTGATGGCGGGAAGTAGGAAGTGGGGGAATTTCTACTTTCTTCTCGTAGATGAAGGCCAATATCGTACATAACTCAAATTCACGCATACAAATAATTAGAGTGAAGCATTTGGGCAAAAAGAAAAGAAAATCATAGCGTTGCATCTACATATGTACATGGTTCACAGCCGCTTGTGACTATCACAAAATAAATGGTATTGTGCCAATCAATGTTGGACAAGGATGTTACCCAATGATGCTAGCTACCCTCCCGGGACACAAAGAAAGTATCCAAGGACAGCTAGGGAGTGATTGGTGAGCGGGCTCTTTTTCGTCTCTCCAGACAGTGAACTGCTGCTTCTTTTGCGAATCTGGCTGGGGCTTGTAGAAGCACTTCCACCAGGCTCCAAACTTTCCTCCACCAAGACCTCGAAATAAATAGTGTACCTTCCTCCAAGCTACAGCGGAGCCAAATCAACGTTTTGTTTCCTAACCGCATTTCATCAGCAGACAATACACATACCTAGCTGACACAACCACCCCGATAATCTCAACCCCGCCCTCACGAGCCGCCATAACAACAGAAAATGAAAATCCCATCCAGGGCCCACTTGCTGGACGCTTGGAGCTGGACTGGGCGACTGGCTGACAAACACAAAAATGGACCGGTTAACGTACCCGGTAATCACAGCCCCCCCTCCACCCCTCCTTCTTGCTTTAGCTCCAGGTCCTCCCATATCCCATCTAAGTACCACCACACCACAACGGCATACAATACGGCACAGGCACGACACAACCTGCCTGTCATGCTCACCACATGCTTGATGAAGTGTCACTCCTCCCATTGGAGATTTGCCTACTAGTTACATACATACACACAAGACTCGTTAGCGCTTACGGTAGTTGATCGCAGCACTCACTCCTCTGATGGTCGTCCTTTCTTGTATGTCATTCCAGAAAAATCTTTGTACATCTATACCAGATGGACTTTTGTATTAGGGGGGGTTGTACCCATTGGCGGTCAGCTAGATCGTTAGTTATTGCTTGAGGCTGCCAAGGACCGACTGGATAATCGAGGTGGATAGGGTAGACGGGAAAGGGCAAGGCAAGCTGGTACGTACTTGGTTGAAGCTGGACTCGCGTTACATGATCGTCAGACATGACGGTTGTGGCATGCTGCCATGCGTACCATACTGTAGGAGAACCAGGTGGCTGGTTTATGCTCATCTTCCAACTTATTTCTTTGCGCACCAAATTTAAATGAACGGCAAAGCAAGTGTCGATGACCGAACGAAGAATCGCGAGGTTAGACATACAGCGTGGAACAGTAGTCATAAAAAGTAACATTGCGCCAGGTAAGCTCCTCAAAAAGAACGCTCGTCGCTTTTTCTTGAAAGTCTCGCCTCTCTCTCACTCTCTCTTTCTCTTACTCAAATTCCCGTGTATAACCCTGTTGCCTCTGACCTTTGTGAGAGAAGAAACAAAAAAAAGGAAGAAAAAAATGCGATGTGAATACCCAAACTCCCCCGATGCAGGCCGCCGTCATTAAAACCCCAGAGAAAGCGCAATATTTTCGTCCAGTTCCGGTTATAAAGTGGAATGGGGTAAGCACCTCTTCGAGGCCCTTTTGTATATGCCTTCACGGCCTCAGATTCAGCCGTAATGCTCGTCCTCACCATAGTGAGCCATCTATACACTCCCTCTCTTCCGCCCGCTCCTTGGTGGTGGATCGTACTCGTCATTCTCCGGTTTGTATTCCTCCGGTTGGAAGTTGGGGTTATTGTAATGCGCGACGTTGAAGTGACTGTTCTTAAATGTCGACGTCTGGAACGTCGGTTCGCGCCACGTGTCGTTCTCAACATACTCGGGCATCTGGCAGTATTCGCTAAACCTCAACGGATGTGTCTGCTGAGGTGGCGGCGGTGGAGGAGCCGCTGCGGCGATGGGTAAAGGGGTGGCAACTGGCTGGAGTGATTCCGTTCCGAAAGGGGCAGACATCCAAGATGGTGTCGGGGCTTGGGTGAACGGCGCAAGCGGCGAGCCAAGCGATGGCCCAAGCCCAACGCCCAGTGCCCCAAGTGGCGAGGGAGAGGAGCTGAAGCCTGGCAGTGCTGCAAGGAGGTCGTAATCTCCCGCGGCTGTGAATGGCGGAGCGGATGTGATTTCATACTGGGGGATGGTGGCTCGGAAAACCTGGATGTTCATAGGCGCGGGCGGAGGCGTTAGGTCCACGGGGTAGAGTATGTCATAGTGGTCGGGCCGGTAAAGTAAGCAGATGACGGGGTCAAGGGGAGATGCCGGCTGGCTGATTGCCTCTTCGGGGAAGCTGTAGGTGTTGACCTCAGAGCCGGGGCTACGGTCCAGATACGCGATTCTCAAGACGAAACCAACGGGCTTCAGAAGTATGCTGACCAGTGCCTGCAAGCCCAGTTGGTCGATCTCAATATTGGGTACCTCGATCACACGCTGACAGAATTTTTCAACACTGTCATCCGTAGTGATGAAGGCCTCGTGACTGCCGCGATTCTCTTTGAGCCAGGAACTTGCGAGCAGGCGAAGGTGGTAGATGATGGCGTTGGATTTTTCTGCATCAGTGAAGGCGTGCATAACTTCGTCCATGGCTTCCTCGGGGACATTGAGCTTGTCCGAAATTCTCTTCAGGAGCTCATCTGTTTCCTCGACAAAATCCACGAATACCATAGGGTCAAAGCCACCGTGGTGCTGGATGTACTCATTAAGGCTCTCTAGACGCTCTCTCTCACCATCCACCTGTGCCTTGTTGCCGAGCTTGATGAGGGTCTCAAAGTAGCCAAATCCGATTGCTAGAGAGTACGTTTCGTCAGCATTCAAACTCGCAGTATGGCGTCGGCCCCAGCTGCTACCCCGAGCTACCACGACTAAGACTCACCTCTCCAGCCGCAGTTACCATCCCCCAGCATTGGACGGTAATGGGAGTATACCGCGGGCAAGGACTGAGACACAATTAACACATGCCGCAACTTTTTTTCCCCGATTCTCCAATAGTCTTGCTCACCCTTGTTTTCTGAACATAGACGGGATCGGCTTTGGCGTATTCTTCCGTGATGGCTGTGCTTGGTAATTTGTCGCCAACAGGAAGACCCTATACATACGTACGATTCCATGTAAGTAACGACACACACTTGGAGAAACTGGACGAGAGCCGTATAGGGTTGATGACGGCTGTAGGCGAAAACCAAGGTAGCAGTATTTTCTTACATTGAGCTCAGGCTGGTACTCCTGGTACCCTTGGGCTGCGGCCAGGTCGCTATGATCGTCGCCGGTTGCTTCCATTTTAATGTGATGTCGTTGTTGATGGATGGACGACGGTGTTTGATAGCGCGGTACTTGAGAATCAAATCGGGAGTGTTGGTATTGCTGTTGTTGTTGTTGATGATGATGATGATGATGATGTTGCTGCTGCTGTGGGGGAAGTTGTGAAATGGAAGCTGGCGAGGAGGGGCTTGTGCTGCCGCCAACGCTGGGAGAGAGCGAATGCGAGACGTATGAGAGCGGGCTGTGCGACTGTTGGTGTTGATGGTGTTGGCTGTGCCCGCCGTGGCTGCTGGTGTGATGCGGTGGTAACGAGTGCGGCGACGAGTGATGGGCATGGAACGAGTTGCCCGCGTGGGTTGTGAACAAGGGTCGGGATGCGGGGCCGCTGACGCTGTTACCGCTGATACTGCCCCTGGGCCCGGCTGGACCTGGACTGAAGATTGCCCCAGTGGTTCCAGGGGCAGCTATTGCTGACCCAACAGCGGCGGCGCCTGCTGCTGTAGCGGCCGCTTCCGCGCCGCCCCCGACGGCAGTGTATCCACCTGAACCACTGCCGCCGCCTCCACGTCCAAGACCACCACCACTACCACCACCTCCACCTATTGATGTCTGTTCGAATGTGTAGTCGGGAAGTCCGTGTGCATTACCATATCCCGTCGAGAGAGATATGTACGCTGCAGAATCGGGCTGATACATGTCGACTGTTGATCTTCGTCAACCTCGGAGAAGCTGTTGTATCGTCGCTTGCGCTTGGGGAGGAGATGTCGACAAGACAATAATCGTTCGGAGTTAAGACGTTGAATTGCCTGTGTTCTGTTCTGTATAACGGGTGGACTGCCAGATGAGGAAAGATTATTAGGTGGTATGTATGGTGGACCTCGTTGCTGTTGATGTCGAGTTGCTGAGGGCCGAGGGGGTTTGAAGCGAGTCCACCGCAGCGCGGCTTGTTCGAATGCTTGGCCTTCAATGCACCTCAATGTGGAGAGCAACAATGACAACCCTTGAGTGGATAGGTAGGTCTGGAGAAAACAGACCAGACAGACGGAGAGGAGAGTTAAGTCGGTCAAGTAACGTAAGACAAGAAAGACCCAAGACAGAGAAGGACAGTCGGAGTTCGCAGCGGACAATAATCGAAATCACTGCCTCGCCGCAAATCCGAACAAGCAAACGGAGATAGATGCGAGTGCTGTGTGGAGGAGTGGGTGGGAGGGCAGGCCAAGTAAGTAAAAGAGGTGAAGCGGAGCAAAGGGAGAAGCAGAGGCGAAGAGAAAGGGAAGTCAAGGGGACCGATGAGCGGGCAGAGGACAGGAGACTCGGAAGTAAAAGTAAGTATTGTATATCCGGGGCTCGCCGAGACGAGGCCGGGCAAGTTGCAACGGCGCTCTGGTGGAAATAAAAAAAAGAAGGCAAGTTCCAGCAATGCCTATAAAACGGTTAGATTAGTACCAAACATACACACCCCCCATCAAACGCTACAGTAACAGCTGGCCGACCTCCCTACGGCCACACAGTACCTATCACCACGGGTGGGGACAGGTGGTGCGGTGCCATACCATCCAGGATGGACTACATATGTATTCATTCCACTGCCCAGACTATAGGGTGCAGTTTATTATTGCTTTCTTTTCCTTGTTGCTGTGGCTGCCCTATCCGCCGTTGGCCGTTTCGCCGCTGGCTACTGGTTGTCCGCGTCCGCCATCAATCCTCTTCCACGCTGTCGTTGCTGGTTGCTTTTGCTTCCTGCAATCCGGGCCATAAGCACCAAGCCAGCTGTATCAGTCCAAGCGGGCAGCAAGTCGAGATCTGTGGTTTCGTAATTGCCCAGGCGAGACATCTCCTCTTCCCACTCTTGTAGTTCTCCCATCTGTGGCGGAGGAGAGAGAGCCCGGTCATGGCTACAATTCGGGTTCAGGAGAATATGTGCTCCGCAACTTTATGTAGTTGTCCGTACGGAATACCCATGGATCCCGGCTGTACGCAGGGCGAAACTGGTGAGGGGGACCGAAAAAACAAAAAAAAAAAAAAAAAAAAAAAAAAAAAAAAAAAAAAAAAAAAGGGACCATCCAGTTTCCCGCAAAGCGTCGGAAGTCAACCAACCCTAGACGACCAGCAAACGCACTTGGTCCCCGGAAGCGACGTCTTGGCGGCACCATGGCTCCGTAGTTTTCTGCAACATGACGGGGCCCGGCCGCCGGTGTGCCTTGTGTCTTTCTGGCCTCTTTTCCCAACCGCCACTGTAATTGCCCGTCAACTGCTCAACAGAAGAGAGAAAACAGGCAAACATTGGGATGGTCGCTACAGTTCTGTGATGATTGGAAAAAAACAAAAACGAGAAAGGTGGTGTTGTGTCTAATGAAGCTGGGTCAACTTTATGATGAAGCGTTTTACATGGAGGTAGTACACTACCTCTACATAACTGTAAACTGTACCTGTGGAAGGGCTGATCTTGTCTGATGAGCAACAGCGACCTAGCGCATGTTCTTGTCCCCTGATCCCAGGCGCCAATGCGGAGGGCCGCTGCGAAACACCGTGGGATCTGGGGAGCTAGGCAGGCTGGCTAAGCTGGGGGGTTCTAGGATGTGTGTAACCACGGACCACAGCATTTGTCTCTGAATGCCGCTTGAAGTGTTCTTATCGACACCCCTCTCTAGCTTGTCTCTGTTTCTCTGCACGCCGGGCTGGGCTCAGTCAGCAGAGCAGCTAGGACACTCCAAATGGTATCGACTTGTAATGCCCGGAATCAACTATGCTTGGCTGGAGCCTTCGGAACGTTTACTTGCCGATACTATCATTGCAAAAACGGGAAGGGCTCTGGAAAAGGGGAATGCGGAGCATCATCCTCTCCTGGTGATTACTATTGGTGTCTTTTACTGCAAGTATAACGACCTCCTTTGCACGGTAGCGAATCCTTACCTAGCCTGCCTAGTGTACTCGAGTCTTGGAGGTGGTGTGTTGGTGTGCTTAACCTGGTTCTGGGCCACATCACGTCGACCGGTCCCCTTCACATTGGATCTGTCTGGCGACTTGATGATCTGTGCTGTCAAGATGCGTCTTTTCGTCTCCATTCTTGCTTTGTTTAAGGTTGTTTTTTCTCTTGTGGTCTGGACAATTGCAAGAGGTAGCACGATACCACATCTAGGGCCAGACCTTTCAAGTCCTTCATGCCAGGTCATTGATAGGGTTGTTTGTGCCTCGCACATCCGCGTCTTCGGATGGGAAAAGCGTACGTGTATCGGCCTGGTACCCCTAGTGTATTGTGCATTGCCCCTTTGCTAGTCGATCAACCGATTTGATGACCAATACCCGCTGGGTGAATATCAGGCTGCCGGCTTGTCCACGAAACTTGTGTTTCCACGTATTTCCACTAAATAGTTCGTTAGAGCTTTGAATGAGGAGGTGGCTCAATTTTACAGGACTGGCAAGGCATTTCATGAATACAAGAGAGTTTCAGACGGTCCGGTACTTGGAGCCGAACCTCAAGTGACACAACATCGCCGAAACCCAATCTCCCAACACCACGCATAAAGCGGCCAACGTGATAGTTGATGGGATCTTGAGAGGGTCAATGCGCCTACAGGGCGTAGTAGCTTTGCACAAGGTGGCACAGTCTCCAGAGCCCGTAGAAAGGCACAATGAAGTCCGTTAGCCTTTCGATACCCAGCGCCGGTATTCCAAAAGCATAAGAGGATGATAAATCGGTCATAGTACGGTCATGTCTGGAGATCCAGGTCATCTTGATTTTTGAGCATCATATTGACCCGGACGGAGAAGGTCGGCCACTTCCTATGATGCAATGGGTGGGAGGAGTTGGCTTTCGCCTCCAGTTCTGGTAGCGTAGCTTTGCCCATGCCGTTACAGAGAAATCCACGCTCGTATGGTGGGAATTCCACCTGTCGACAGTGTCTGCTATGTCAGCTTGAAATGTAAGTAAGCTCAGCCCATGTTATTCCCAGGACCGACGACACAAAGAATGAGGCCGAGATGTGGCACGAATAAATCTAAATTGTAACCGAAGTTGGTGAGGCTGCTTGAATACAGTATGCTGTGTGAACGAGCAGGGGAGAGGGTTAAGGTGGTCAAAAGCTGAAAGTGTTTAATGAGGAAGAACAGCTGTGGTCGATCCGCTGCTCGGGCTCGTTGTTGGTACCAAGCTCATGGGATCGTTGGATTCAAAGCTATGCAGAGAATTCCTCAAGGGTTCAGAAGAATCGCCATTGCCGAAGGCGAAACGCACGAAATGTGAGACATCAACGGGTAGCGATGTACCGCTTATCCCCTTGTATTTCCCTCGTACTTTTGGTATTAGATTTTTAGGTTCCTCGGTCGCTTATTCGTAAGCTATGTTGTCATCTTCTCACGGACCATATGTTTGCCGCCTGGAGTGACTAGTCAAATTGACTTGCAACACAACATGTATGGCGGTGACCAGCTGAAAACGTGGGGTTGAACAAGAACAAGGATCAAGTTGATAATATGTTTCTCAGATCTCATGCGCAGGACAGCATCACGTCGTGCTTCTTCTGGCTTGTGAGTGTCTGCGCTAGGGACTGTCGTCGTGGATGAAGGCCAATCCAGGAAAGTGTATATCATATGGTAGCTTACTTGGGGGGTTCTAGGCGCCAAGGCTTCCTTTCCCCCCTCTTTTTACCCTCTAAAGAGGGGGCGCGGAAAATTTAGGACAGCAATTAAATATAGGACACTCCACATAGAAATTTACTAGCAAAGTAACCCATCTACATACTCAACACCCATATTATATATTGAAATTTATCAACACAACATCGTTAGGAAGCCCAATAAACTACCTAAATAGGAAGAGTATATATATAATAAAAGATCTAATAATTTATTTAATTTATTTGAGTGCGTTATAGTATTATATATATAGCTAATTAAACTCCCTCCTTACTTATATATACATTAGATTTCCTCCTCCTACTTTAATAAAGCTTGCCCCGGCTGTTGCCCGTTTAAATACCTTATTCTAGGTCGGACTGTGCTTTCGATTAATAGCTTTATTATACTTCCCTATATAGTATCTTCAAATCTATATTCTCGTAAGAAGAAGGGAATTATAGGGGTAATTATTGAAGAGGGACTAAATCTGGGTAGTGAGGTTATATTAATAGTAGGGGGTATACGCTATTTAAACTTCTTCTTGGGAGCTAGTGTAATTAGGGGTTTAATTAATTAACTAACTAGTTAATTAATTAGTTTACTCCTCCTCTCGCTAAGTAGAAGTTCCCTATCCTCCTTATCCCTATTGTTATTATCTTCCTTTTCCTTATTATTAATTTTCTCTCTTATTGCTATAGTAATATTATCCTTATAGAAATCTTTAACGAGAGTTTTATTTATCTCCTCCTCGAATTATATTTATATACGTAGATCTCTAACAATTTAAGAGAAGGTTTCTAATTGGGCGGCGGGCTATATTACTAATTGGGCGGCTAGCTAGCGGTTAATAATAATCTCAATATCCTTATTATTAAAAATAATTAGTAGAGGGTGCTCTATATAATATTGGGCTTGCTAGTGTACTAGCGGTTTACCCTCCTTATTAATTTAATAAGGGAGACTTTCCTCTATATTAAGTATATTATTATTATAAACGGGGATATACTCCTATTAATTATCCTTCTTATATTTTTTAAACTATATAATCTATATAACCTTCTTTAATTTACCACCCTCTATATCCTTCTTCTATTAATCTTTAAACTACTTTTATATAATATTGTTAATCCTTTTTATAGCTCGCTCTTAACGTTTTATTTCGTTTTATATTTCTCGTTGAATTTTCTCTATTATCTTAGTATTGAATTCGTCTTTTAAAAATAATAGAGATAAATTATTATTAAGAATCTTATATACTCTCCTCCTTATTCGACGGTCGAAGTTAGCTTCTCTCTTATAATTATACCGGTAATATTCTTAAATTTTATTATAATTAAGAATCGCCTTTCGAATAATTTAGAATATATAAGGGTAATTAATTCGTATTAGGGAACTGAACGTATAAGAATAACAGTTAATAATACAGTTAACAACCTTAATAACCTTTTTAAAACGGTCCTTATACGGTATTATAGAGGGATAGGTAGGGTTGAATTCAAAAGAGCGCTACTTAGCTTTAATCTATAACAATACCCTTTGTCTATTAATTAACTAAAGACCAATATCTTCAAATCTATTTATAATATTATAAATTATAAAACTATTAGTAACAATCTTATTAAATTCTCTAACGAATATTGTACGGTTGAAATTATACTCTCTTCGCTATACGAATTTACGAAGAGCTTTTTAGTAATAGGATTTAAATAAGGAGAAGACTCCTACATTAAGCGGCTATATAATATAGGTAGAATATAACGGTAAGGCAAGGATTTAAATATTAAATACCTCAATATACTACTTAACTACTATATTGCAATAGCTACTAAACCCATTAATTATAAGCAGTCGATATATAGGGTCTATATTAGGGAGCTGTCTTTTACTAATACTAATAGTATAATCCTCTAGTTGGCGACTATTAATATTATACCTATACTAGTTATAACCGAATTAATCTATAAAATTATATTTTATCTTCTTAAAGGTTAATAATACTTTAAAGCTATATAAATTAAAGTACTTCAATTAATTGAAGGTAAACTTTACATTCGAAAAACTAATTAGTAACTTTATAAAACGTACATTACCGAAAAACTCGTTATTAATAAACTCTTTTATTAGATCGGTTTTAAAAATAAAATAGATAGGAATATAATACCCAGTAGCATTTACTCTAGCAATTAGAGTACATAACTCCCTATTAACTAGATTAAATATTTCTAACTAACCTAATAATTAGTATAGTAAATAGTAAAGGGTAAATTATACAATCAGAAGGGATTTTACTTAATTAAAGGGTATTTTATACTAACCTTCTTCTTATCCCCCAACTTCCTCAATATAATAACCTTTATACAACTATTTAATATACAGCCGATACAGGCGCTACATTTATTATTATTCTAATAATTATAAAAAGGGATAACAGCGGCGATATCTTCGTATTTATCAAACCAGTCGTTCACAAACTTAATATTCAACTCCCAAAAGTAACGCTTAAAATCTACGGCGCAATATATCGTCAAGCGCAACTTAAGATAGTTAATAATAAACTTCGTAAACTAACGTCTATTAAATTTAATCGATAGCGGGCTTACCTTTATCGACTATAACTAATTTATAGTATATATTACTATCGACTATAATACGGGGAATCTTCCTCTAAAGTAGAATATTATATATATAATAATAGCCTTCTCCTTAATAAAGGTTAATAATTATAGGCGCCCCCGTAACTGTAATAATATAACTAGTTTACCAATCTCCTATAATAACTTCGTATAACGGCTAATCAAACTGTTACGGGGCGCGAGCAAGCACTAAGGTAAGACTTTAATTATTATACGAGGAATAGGAAGAGAATCCTATACACGCATAAGAACTATATAGGGCATACGTGCGTGGGTCCGGTACACGGACTATAGCGTACGTATATATGTAATTGCTGTACTATACTCAGGCAGTTACATAGCTGACTATACTATGTAATATAGCACCCTCTATTTATATATAGGAATATAGTAGTAATGCCTATAATACTACCCCCCCTTTCAATATAATACTCCCACTCGAAAAATCGATATTATATATATTATCGATAAAGTGGGGCTTATCCAGCCTTCCCGTAGCTATATCTAATTAAATGCCGGTAAAGATTTTACTAAAGCGGGAAGCTGCTTAATGCCCGCCGGTACTTTAGCTCCTTTTTAGAGGTAGAATATTAGTTAAAATATTGTTAAATCCGACCCTTCCGCTGTAAGAGCTATTATTATTCCTAATAATCTATTTACACGCTGGAAATTAATTTAAAACGCTCTAATTATTGTATATAGAGAACTTTAATAATTCTTACTATTACTAGCCCTACCGGGGGTATTATAGGGACGCCCGTAGTATAGTAATTTACGTAGGACGCTTATAGCTGTTATTAGTATAAATTTAGAGAATTCGCGTATTTAATTCCCTACTTATAATTTATCTTTTCTTTAAACGCTTAATTATTATACTACTAACCTTAAAAATTCTTAGATTCCTCTTATCTTCAAATCTTAATATTAACTACGTATGTGGCTAATTTAGGGAATAGGAGACGTAAGACCGCTATAAAACGTATTATTTCTCAGTGCTATTAATAATTATTCTATAAAAGGGTATACTATAAAGTATTTAATTAGGGTATATGGAATAAATCGAACTAAACTCCTTTCTTTTTACTATTATTCAATTCTATACTTCCTCCTATATACTAATTA